TATCTTACCTCAGCTCTGCTGAGCTACAAGCCAGCCATGCGTAGGGAACACAGTACACACAGCAGAGCCAAATTTACAGCGAAACCTTCCCGGACTGAAGTCGGGTGGGGTTTTATAGGCAATTAGGAAGGGGTTTTATAGGCAATTAGGAACGCTCGCTCGCCAGCTTGAAATTAAAGAAGGTGACAGTCAGACCCATGACATTCTCATTTTTTTAGCAGGAAAATGCTAATGCTGCGCCCACCGCAGAGAGGGATTTGAGGAAGAGTTCTGGTGGGGAAGGAGTCTCAGGGCACCCAAGCTGGGCTGCTTCGGAGAGCGAGCTACGGCGCAGGGACAGCCTCCAACCGGGCGACCGTACCTGGAAACTGCCGAAGCAGCTCCCTCCCGGCAAGGTGACGTAGCAGACGTACGGGGGGCTGTTGGAAGGCACCATCTCGTACACCACGAGGGCTCCGTTTTTCAGATCGGCTCCGCGCGACTGCTTCATCTGCCAGAACTCCTGAAGGGCCTCCACGACGTTCACTGAGGAGACGGAAACAGAATCGAGTTGGGACACGGAAAACAAGAGCCTGGGAAGCTGGTTTCCTCAGGTACCACGCGCCAGGAGCGGCCACATCCAGGAACACCACGGCATAGATGTTAGCGTATTCCCACCTACACAGGCAGGGCCTGCCCAGGGAGCTCAGTCACGTCTCGGATTAACAACCATCCGCTTCGAGGGAAGCTGGAGGTGCACGATGTCAGCACAAACACGCCTCTCCCAGGGAGAGGAACCTAAGGAGAACCACCGGGTTACAAAACAAAGCTTCGTACAGAAAAGCTCTTCTCGTTCCAAAAGACCCCGGGAAAAGCTTTCGGAAGAGGGCTTGGCAAAGGCTGCAAAGCAAGCAGGGCGGCGGGGCGTTCCTCCTCCCCAGGAGGGCTGTCCGCAGGCGCAGCTCTGCTCCTCTGCCTCGGCTGAGCCTCAGTGTTGACATTCCCACACTGAACACAAAACCAGAGCAGCTGATCTGCGCGTGCACCGTGGGAGCTGCAGCAACCACCCGCCTTTGTGCGGAACATCTCGTACCCGGCCCCGAACAACACCGCGGAGACGCCAGCAGTGGCCCGAGGCGTTAGGCTGAGGTCTCCTGGCAGCTCTCCCTGGGATCTGGCTGGGAGGACTGAGTCTGCCACACGGCGAGCGCGTAACAGCACAGAGCGGGGAAACACCTAACTGGAGAATCTCGTTTGTGCCACCCGGCGTGGGAGGACGTACAACCACACAGTGAATTCCAGGATAAAACCAGGGTCAGCTTTGTTACTGTGTTTTTTCTGCCTCAGTTAGGAAACCAGAGCCTGAAGCGTCAGCCCTCACCGCCTTTGGTAAGTGCCGTCTCTCCAGGAGCAGCTGTTTGGAAGCAGCACCTCTTGGAGCACCAAATTTGCTGGACGGGGTGTGAGCACCGACCCAGCTTCAGCGACCCAGCAGCTTGGCCCACACCACGCACAGCCAACCCACGCACGCAGCCCTTGCCGCAAGCAGCTCGTAGGCCAAATCCACGAGGTTAAATTCTTATTTTAATAGGCACGCAAGAACAAGAGGCGTTTGCTGTGACAATGAGCCAGCTGCCTCTGATTTTTGAATCCCCAGCGTCGTCAGGACTTCCTTCGAGCTGTTCTAAGCTTACCCACCCAGTATTCTGTCCAGGTTTGGGCAAGAAAAATGAACCTCGTAGCGTCTAACGCTCTCAGTCCCATTGAATTTGATCCCGGCTTCTTTTTACGCTGAAGAGTTTGACAGGTAGCACAGGAACAGCCTCAGCTCCTCCTCAGCACTCCTCCTCCGAGCCTTTTTAACCCCAGCAATCGCTGTGAAGCGAGGCGATCTGCAAAACACATCGCAGCGACTCCTCGCGAATGCGAGAGCTGTTGAAAGGACTCCACACCACAGCTCTTCTTTTAAGCAAAATGAGAAAAATACCCCAAAATGCCCGGCCGAGGTCTCCCGTGAGGAGCTGCGTCCCACGCAGTCAGCACCGAGCGAGACGAGGCTGCTGCTCTCCAAGTCCCCCCGGGTAAGGCAGAAAAGGGAGGTGAATTTGAGGCAAGTCGGGGGCAATTTTCCACTGAAGACTGACAAAAAGCTGCCCAAACAATACAAGTTCCCTGCCAGTTCTCCAGGCACCAATACCCAGACAGAATTCCCACCCGTCCAGGCAGATCCCCTTCGCAGGGACAGCGTAAGTCACGCACATCACCCCCAACGGGTTTGGGGGGACAATGCCCGATTCAGGAACGGCTTCAGGGACCGTTCGCCGCGGGGCAACTGAGACTTCGCAGCAGCGACCACACAGGAAACTGCAGAGAAAGGCGAGCTACGCCAACTCTCACGACAAACGGAGCGACTCTGAAAATTCAGAGGAATTCTGGTTTGGTTTAATTTAGTGAAGTCTGAGAAGCTGGCGTTAAGAGCAGGTTAACGAGGAAACGCCGTGCCGCGCCGGCACGGGATTGTGTTTTCAGGTCCAGACAAGGGCTCCTCTGTGCCAGACAGCGGCCGGGTACTTCGTTAGCGACCGGAGCGATGGGTCAGGCAGCTGAGCAGCATCCAAAAGAGGTTTTCTACACAGAGCGGATTCAATGCCTCCAGCTGCCGCGGGCAGGGCGGTTTTAAGGGACAAGAAAGTAAAATCCCTAATTGAAATGCTGCGACTGCTTCAGAACAATACGCTGCAAGGGCTGGAGAGCAACCGCGTCGCTACCAAGAGACACTGCCCAGCTGCCCTCTCCTCAGCACGGCCCAGCTCCAGCGCCGGCGCGTTTAGCAGGCACGCGCGGGCTGAGCGCGGCAGCACGCTGAATGCAAAGCGAAATCCCAGTCTGAATTTCACAGCATCACAGAACGTTCGGGGTTGGCAGGGATCTCTGGGGGTCACCCAGCCCAACCCCCTGCCCAAGCAGGGTCACCCAGAGCAGGGGGCACAGCAC